ATTAGTGGTTCATTTGACAATGAATTCTTTATTCTGATGTTCAGCGTGACATATGTCTGCATGTGTGTATTTAAACTTTAATTTTTTATTAGTTTTAAGTAGATTAAGTTATCTAATTTTATGTTAATATTACTTCAATTTCAACTCTTGAGATAAGTTTCAGAGAGGTTTTAATAATTTAGTAATTCCCCCTTGGCCTAGAAGGGGTTTAGACCCTTATTCAGCAACCTTCTTAGAGATATCTCAGTAAAAAGCACCCAGCCACATGTGCTGTGAACAGGTTAATAGGAGTATAGGTTCACCTATTGCCTGACAGTACTACTTCCTTATTTATTGCACAGGAATAGAGGTTTATCCCTGACTTCCTGTTTAAGATATGGCTTACCAGTATTTTCTTCCACTTTTTGGTGATCTGACTCATCAGTGACTGCAGCTTTTTATTATGTGAGAACAGAATTGACAGTTTTCTGGTTGCTGCATCTGACTGAAGTAAGGAGCCTAAACTTTTTGGTAGTCACATATTGGGGTATTTGTAATGCTATATCATGCATGGGTAGGTATCCCTGCATGTATTTCCAGTGGGCAGCCCTGAGGCCACATTAAGCTATAGTCTTAGCTACGTTCTGACCAGTTTGTATTGCCATCAATGATAGGGATAATTATTTTGACATTTTTCTTAAAACAAAATCTTATGATAGATACAATGAAAATAAATATCTGTAGACCAGTAAACAAAAAATCAACTACCCACCTTCAACCTTTCTTTCTCCAATATTTGTAGCATTTGTCCAAGTTTCTGTAGTATAGAATTTTTTCTCCTGAAACATTCTCCAGATATCGCCACATTTTGCAAAACTAATTTAAATTTTTCTAGTTCTATCAATGAATTCTCTTTTTTAAGCTTTCTTCTTCTTTGTCACAAAGATTCTAGAATACATATTCATTGCTTTGGTGTTTCTATTCTGGAAAATCTTCCAATTGCAAGGTAATTGTCTCCTAAGTCCCCAGATGATTCATTCATGTGCTTTTGACTTTTGTTATTGCACACTATTAGCTATTTCTTTGCTTTATTGCTATCCTCCTTCTCAGGACTGTAATATATTAAACAAAATTTCTGACAATATTGAAATGCTCTCGCTACATTAATCTGCAAACATTTTTTGAGTTTACTGATTTTAAGCCTGTCAGATGGCTTAAACATTCTAATGTTACTGAGGTTGCCTGTATTCAATTTTTACATTGCTCAGTTAAATAGTGGATTTCCCTATTCTGTTTCCCCAATAATTCTGATCAACATTCTTCGTTACTTGATTTGTTCCTTACCTCCTCTCTTAGGTCTTAGCAACACAACTCTGTGCTCTTGGCAATTTGGATCATGCTGTAGTATCTGTTGATATATCTTTTGAGTTGTCTATTAAAAAGGAACCTCCTATTTACAAGACTTCTTTCTGTTGCCAGTGTACTGAGTGGGATTCATTTTGTTAGACTTCTTATTGAGAATTAAGCCATGGAGTTTTTTTTACTTGGGTTAAAGCCAGTATCAATGCATTTGTACCTTCTTGGAAATAATAGGCGAAACCATAATCTTCTGTTTGGTTCACACTGGCCTGTCCAGCTGCTATAGCCCACAGGAATCACTTTTTCCAGATGTACAGTAGGATAGTCCTGATCACAACAGACTCTGATTTGTGTTTGCTTCCAGTAATTGTAAACATGTCCTCAAAGAGTCTAAGTATTTGTTTGCTGAGAGAATGAGTCATTGTATAGCCTCAAGTTTGGTTCTCATGACTATTGGTGACTCTGTAATAGCATGTTAAATAAGAGTAAGTCTTCTATCCTGACTCTTTTTGCACAATTTGAGATTTTATCATCATCTGCTAATAAAGCAGAATGATTTGCTAATAAATTATTTCTAATCTTGACTTATTCTGGAGTACCTTTGCCTGACTTTCCACTTAGAACCAAGTCTCTATAAAGTGATATGCATATAACACCTTCCATTTTTCTGCTGTCGTCTGTAAACTGGTTTCCCCACAAAGCATGTAGACTTGATGGTCTCCCTGCAATAGTTCTGAAGAAATGTTTCTGAAATGGCTCCTGTTCTCTCTAAAATTGACAATAAATGCCTTATTGCTTCTTGCTTTCCTGCTTGTTGGGAATCCTCTTCTGCAGTTCCAGTCTTTAAGAACTTTGGTGAACCATTGGATTCTTCTATCACCCTATTAGCCTTTTTGGCAAATTCCTAGAGGCTCTAATCAACTCTGAATTGGTTAAGTATCTTACCTTGCCAGGTCTTCTTTTTGATAACCAATATGGCTTTCATTTCTCTAGGTCAACTGATGATGTATTAATGATTATTGCTGAAAGAGTCTATCAAGCTTCAAATAAGAATAGTCAAACTCGGTCTCTTGCTTTGGATATCTTGAAGACATTTAACAGGATTTGGCATACTGGTCTTCTTCACAAGTTGAAAGGTTATGGTATTTCTGGGCCAATTTTTGGACCGATTCAGTTTTTCTTATCAAATCGCAAAATAAAAGATGTTTTGAATGGCCACTCTTCTAAATCTTTTTGTATTAATACAGGTGTTCCCCAGGGCTCTATCCTTGAACTTATATTATTCGTAATTTTCATCAACAACCTTTCTGATGTAATCAATTCTCATCTATGCTGATGACAACTGTTTATTCCTGTCTTGATAGTAAGTCTGATTCGTTCGATAGGATCAATTTGGCAGCTGATCTTAAAAAATGACCTGCAATCTGTTATTAACTGGGGTAAGGATTGACTTGTTAATTATAATGCCTAAAAAGTGAAAACTGCATTCTTTAAATGCTCTGATAGTTACCCTTTTTGCCTTCCATCATCATGGATGATGCTTACTTCCAGGACAGTGACTAAATTTAAATTTTTAATGTCCAGTCTCTCTCAATTTATAACTGCTCATTTCATTGTTTTTAATTATCTCACATTTTATTTCTTTAAATGTTATTTTTAGTGGATAGCCATATTTGAATAGATGCCCTGTTAATTTATTTATCTACTCAAATATGTGTATCTATTAAAAATAATGTTTAAAGTGATAAAATGTCAGATTAATAGAAACCTATGTAACTTTACAAATTGCTTTATTTCACATTATAAAATCATTAGCTTTCTGAAGAAGAGAGATCTGTAGTATATTCCTAGATGTTATTTTACCACAGAAGATTCTGAATTAAGTGCACTTTCAATATATTTTTACCTTCCTTTACCTGGGGAAATATATTGATAAAACATTTAGACTTCTACATTAGCCACATCATATCATCCTCAACACTAGGAAACAGGAATACAAAGCCCATATCTATGGACATAAAAGGGATTTATGTTTGGGCAATGATTTAAACTCGCTTGTAATGGAATACTACTGCCATATATGGTCTGGAGCCCCTGCTGTTTGTCTCGACATCCTCAACAGATTCCAGAGACAGATATGCAATGTGATAGGTCCTGATCTGGCACCTTGTCTACAATCACTTTCTCACAGACGTTCTGCTGCTGCCTTTTCTACAAGTATTTTCATGGCAACTGCTTCAACAAGCTACTTTCGCTGGTTCCAAAATTTCATGAATTTAAGCATGCTACTAGGTTGGCATCTTGGTCCCACCCTTTCACTGTTGAAATGATTAAATGTAGCCGTCTTTTCTACACTGAAAGCTTCTCACACATCCCATCTGTGGAACTCCCTTCTTGCTTTTCTGATGGCTATAGTCTTCAAATATTCAAATGTAATGTCAGTTGATATCTTCTGATGCTTTGATCTCATTCCCTGCCCTTCTCTTTATTCTATTTTCAAACACGCCTCTTTTTCTTTTGCTCTCCCTCTCTGTAAGCTCCTGCATGCTAGTGACACTCCTGCCTTGCTTAGGGTGAAATGCTTAAAAAAAGAAAATACACAGGAGCAAAACTGGCCAAAACTTTGATTTTACAAATTCTAATTAAAAAAAAGAGCATAATTTTTTATGTCAAAAGTACTTCAAGGGATTGTGACTAAATATATTACCAACTATAAACACATGTCACCAACCTTTATTGAATCCACTGTTAAAGAAACTAATGTATGTTTATCTAAAACAAATTGTACATAGGTAAAAACATTCTCAAATTAACATGAAAACCAGCAAACATAATGTCTATTAGACATATATATATATATATATATATATATATATATATATATATATATATATATATACATGAATATACATTATCATTTGAATCCCATATAGACATACCAGAATTATTATAGACTTACATACAAAAAATCAATATTTACAGTTTTTCAGTTGGGCTTGGAATTTCAATTTCTTGGAGCTTTGAAGGAATGCATCATCTCTCCTTGAATTTGGAATGCCATAAATTATACTAGAATTGGTTCAAGAACCACATGAAACAACACAAAACTAAAATTACCAAAATTTCATTCTTTTTCTCTATATCTCATTCACTGATGAAGCTTTAATAAAAGAGAAACTGGTTAGATTGATAGACATTTCCTATTTGTTCTTTATTATTTTCACCTAATAAATTACTCTTTTATTTAAAATGCCTCAAAACTTATAAATCTCAAATTCTTTTAACAAGGAGTAAAGAAATTTGTTTCATAGTAGGTGTTTGTCATGACTGATAAGAATTTATACTATTATAAATAAATGTATTCTCTTTTATAATTAAATAGCTTTCTCTTTTATAAATGAATTATTCTTCAAGTATATATATATATATATATATATATATATATATATATATATATATATATATATATATATATATATAGAAATAATTTCAAATATTTCTTCTCTGAATTTTTAAGAATCAATAATTCTTGCTGATTTTTATTTATTTTGCATTTTGTTTGTTTACTTTTTTGTTTCTTTATTATTTATTTATTTATTAGCTTCTGCTTTCTCTTCCTTTGTTTTAAGGTGGAATTTCACCAGGCTTATTTTGTTTTTCAGGATCCTCTGCCGGCATTTTCTCCTTGCAAGATCAAATTGAGCACAAGCTTGCTTTTATACAACACTTTGTCCCCAGCCAAACCTCCCTTATTTTAATAGGCCACTCCATTGGCTGTTATATGATTCTGAAAATGCTCAAACATCTTAACCATGAAAATCTCCTGCATAGCTTTTTGCTTTTCCCAACTATTGAACGAATGGCTATCTCACCCAAAGGCCAAGTAATGACCCCTTTGCTGAAATTCTTCCGGTGGATCACACTTATGTTTGTCTATTTCCTCTCATTCCTTTCACAAGAAGCCAAGTATAGAATCCTACTTTGGTACTTCAAGGGCAAGGATATCTATCCCAAATGCATTTACAACGCTTCAATGAATATCTTTGATCTCAAGTGTATTGACAACATAACGTACATGGCCTCCGAGGAGATGAAAACAGTCACTGATCTCGACAGGCAGGCACTGCATGAACACATTTGGAAGCTAAGCTTTTATTACGGCCAAAAGGACAGTTGGTGTCCTCTCGACTATTGTCATGACCTGAAGAAACAATTCCCTCATGCAGATATACGTATTTGCCAAAAACAAATGGAACATGCATTTGTGATGACATCAAGTGAACTAATGGCTTGGGTTTTGACTGAATGGCTCAAGAAAAAAGCCAATTAACAATTTTCTTTTGTTTTGTTTTTTTTTTTTTAACTTGTCTTATTTTTTATTTATTTTTGCTAAAACATTCTTTGCTAGTAAATTTTCTTTACATCTTTTTCTAAATAAATAAACGGCAAATTCTGTCTGTCAATCCATGTGTCTGAAACCCCTCTAAATCAAGCCACATTTGCTGTACAAAGATATATTATACCTTTTTGAAATCAGGATGATCACAGGATTGTAAATCTGCCCTTCATCTGGTGCTTGAACATCCAGCATTGGAATTTGTGTCTGAATGAGGAGGGAACAGTTAAAAATTCAAATTTTAAAATAACTAAAAATAATTAGTGATTTTAAGTTTTTAATTTATATTGAGTTTAAAGTCACAAGAAAACTTTGAAATTAAAGATCCTTTGTTTTAAATTCAGTTTAAAATATTTCCAGAACTTTGTGAATTGAGGAAATCAATTTTTTTTTGTTCAAAATGCCAAGGAAGCTTAATTAAAGTGATAAGTTTCGTGATGTGAGGTTTTGAAATTACAGAGTTTGTGATTTGAAGAACTTAATTTTTGGCCCAAATTAGTCTTTTGCTTTGATTTGGGCTATAAGTTCAATTCCAAGTTAGGGTGAGGTTTTGATGTTCTATGACGTAAATTGAGGAATTCAAAGTTATTTCTTCAAAATTATCATTGCTGTTCTCTAAGCTGAATCAGAGGTCCATTAGTTTTGAACTTTTGAGGCTCAATTAACCCTCTGCAGGAGCTCGCTTAAAAGTCTGCATAGAGTGAGACTTTTTAAACTAGCTCAGTATAGAACTAATTATATTTTTTTTCTTTTCTATAAAAAAACAAAAAGAATTTGATGTTTTGTTTAGAAAAACTTCAGCACTCTGCAGGTGACCCTCCCCCTCCTCCTGCTCCTGCTGGGTAAAATATTTGTCTTGCAACTGAGGAATAAATGGAATGTTTGAATTTCACAGTTATCTTGTCATGTCCTGTTTATGGAAACAAGAGCCTTATTTGAAATTGAGACAAGCCGTTATGCACAATGGAATGAGGAAGCAAAACAAGTGAGTAATGCAGAGGGTTAAGAGTTATTAAGTTACATCAGGAATTGAATGCACTATCACAAGTGCATGGTTGGTGAGGCATGTTAGCTGAAGCTGACTATATATTAATAAAACAAAAAATAAATTTAACCAAGGCCCCATGCACCATCAAGGTTGGAGTTTGCAGCTACATGGTCAAATTTTACATCAGGATATAAGTTCCCATTTGCAAGAAGTCAGTCTACTTTACATATAAATATGTAAACTATGAATTAATTCATAAATAACTTTTATACTAGTTTTGCTAAAGACTAGCGAAAATTCTTTTTTTTTTTTTTTTTTAGGATTTTTTTTTCCTATTTTTCACTATTTTCCTGCTTATCAGTATATATTTAAATATAAATTTACCAAGGTCTGAAAACTTTTGGGTTTCGTAAGCCATTATAAAAATGTTTTTGTTTTTTGTGTCATGTCGGTTTCATTGTTCGTCATGTTATTTTTCTTTCTTCTGACTATCACAGCACGATACCTGTAGCAATTTTTTTTTTTTTTTTTTTTTTAATGAAATTGGATAGTTTATATTCAAGCATATATTGAAAGCCAAGAAAATAGTTCAAAAGAGAAAAAATAATTATTTTTTTTCTTTTAAATCCTTAACAAGGAACTTCTGTTGGTATTTTAACCAATGAAAAATTGCTGATCAAATCTGCATAAATTATTTATGAATTGTAACTGTGGAACAAGCACCATAAGAATGCTTTTGCTTGAAGCACAATATTTGTCAAGAGGTACTGGTACAAAAATCTAAAAAGAAAAACCAAATAGCAACAAAGAACAAATAAAGATGTCTACCAAAAAATATTCTCTTAAATTTGTTACTTGTTACACAATTCCTTACATTCTTTTAGGTTATTTCAAAAACATATTGCAATTTGTTTTGTCTTTTATCGGTAATTTGATTGATTGGCATTAATAATCATCTAAATATTGGATTTTGGAATGGGATTTAATCTTTCAAAAAAAAAAGCTTGCTTTGATGGCCTTGATGTTTCTAAAACAATTTCCTTTTTTCTTTTTCTCTCTCTCTCTCTCTCTCTCTCCATTACTTAACCCTTTGAGCCCTGACCACCACTTTACCAGTGATAAAGAAAAATGACAATGCCCAACCACTGGTTGAACGGTGGGTAAACACTTGTAACTATTTTCATATCTATCATGAAACATTACATACCAATTATTTGCGAATTTTGACTTGGGAGCTCAGACAGAAGGGTTAAAATTGTTCAGGAACACGGGGCTGAAAGGGTTAAAATTGTTTAGGAATGCATGGCTGAAAGGGTTAAAATTGTTTAGGAATGTAGGGCTAAAAAGGTTAAAATTGTTTAGGAATGTAGGGCTGAAAGGGTTAAAATTGTTTAGGAATGCATGGCTGAAAGTGTTAAAATTGTTTAGGAACACAGGGCTGAAAGGGTTAAAATTGTTTAGGAATGCATGGCTGAAAGGGTTAAAATTGTTCAGGAACACAGGGCTGAAAGGGTTAAACTAACATCCACATCAGGTATTTGGCTATTCAGCTTCTGATTACTTCTTCCCTGGCTTCTCTTCATACAATTTCATTTAAAATGAGTTTTTATTTTTTTTGCTTACCTTTCCCTGCCACTGTCTGTTTTTTTTTTTATTCTACTCTTTCCTTCACAAACAGCACAGCCTTCAAAGATGGTTAAAGAAAAATACTAAAGACAGATTCCAAGTTGGCTACATAGCATAGTGATTATTGGTATAGAAAACAGGGTTGACATGCCAAATTCAATTTCCAGCCAAGGCTATTGCATTTGTACAAATACCATTCGAAAGGTATGAATCCATTTCTTCTCTTCACACCTCCTCTCCAGGGAAGGGATGATAGCAGGGCAGACTGGTTGCTCTTGGATGGCAACCTGGCTAGGAGAAGGAAAATTGATGAGCCTGAAGAGAGATGGGCTCTATCAGGCTATCTTGCCCTAGACACACTACTAATGCCACAGCTGCAATATATGTGATGCACCTATGACCCTATTGGGTTATGGGACTTGTCATATCAACAGAAAGGCAAACAACTTCTAGAAGTATTTTTAGTTCTTTTATTGTCTATTATTATTATTATTTATTCACTGTTATTGTTACATGAAAGTTCATTTTAAATGTGAGGGAGTACTGAAAAGTTTTGAGCCTGCTGAAGAATTCCCCCAAGAAAAAAAAATTTCTCATATATTGAGAAGTGTTTCAGACTGTGTACTATTCAGTACTTCATATTTTTATAACTATCCATGTGATAAATATATAATTATATATATCATAAAGTTGTAGTTTCTATTATATAAAATTAAAATGTTGTTTATAGATAAGTCAATATGTCCATAGTTAAATGAGAAAATCACATTACACAAATATTTTCCAGCATAATCTTGTCAATGCACTTAATTGAATGGTGAATATTAATCACTTAGAATGAACATTATACAGTGAAAGTTTCAAATCAGTTTGTGTCAGGCTGCAAATCTTGATATACCATTGGATGTAACTAAAGTTATTTTATAATGGTTATTGTGCATAAAATAGATTTTTAGAAATTATTTATCTGTTATCAAATGATTATTTTTTTTATATCCATCATTATTATTACTAGTGTACCTATGCTGCACAAAATGATGGAAATTATTAGAAAGTTTTAATAGTGAGATGGAATGAAATAAAAGTCTTGAAATAATGGATTCAGATTCAATAATATGGAGATAAAGAATTCACAACTAAAATGGATGCCAATGAACTACTTCATTAATTCATTTCATTTTTTTTTTTTTTTTTTTTTTTTTTAAGCATTTCAGCCCTAGCAAGGCAGGAAGACACTAGTATGCAAGGGGTTATAGAGGATTTGGAGCGAGAGCAGGTAGGAATGATAGAGGAAAGGATGAGGAGAAGGATAGTGGATAGATCAAGGCAACTGGAGATGTTGATTGACATTTGAATAGTTGGAGATTATAGCTTTCGGAGAAACTGGAATAAGGAAGGGAGTTCCACAGGCGAGAAGTGCAAGACATGAAGCTGTTGGAGTAGAAGAGGCGACTACATTTAACAGTTTCAACAGTGAAAGGGTGAGAGCGGGATGCCAGCCTCGTAGGACGCTTGAATTCACAAAGTCTTGGAACCAGCAAAAACAGCTCATCGGAGCAATTACCATGAAAGTATTTGTAAAAAAGACAGAGGGAGGCGACAGCACGTCTGTGAGAGAGCGACTGCAGACGAGATGCCAGATCAGGGCCAATTATATTGCATATGTCTCTGGATCTTATCAAGAACCCTGAGGCAAACAGAAGGGGCTCCAGACCATATATGGCAACAATACTCCATGCAAGGGCGAATGGTTGATTTGTAGATTT